TTTGCATACCTAGATTTGATCCCTGACACTGACGGCCCCTTCAGCACTGCTAGGCTTAGCCTTGGTGGCCCTCCCCTCCCCCCCGAGCATGACTCTGGTGTGGCTTTAGTGGCTGCAGCATCTCGGGCCCTGAGTACTGCTGCAGTGCCAGCCCCAAGCACTTAACAATCAAGTGTGGCACAGTTGGGCTCAGTTACAAGCCACCCTGCAAAATAAAAGAAAGATGGGGCTGGAGTGATAGCACAGTGGGTAGGGCATTTGCCTTGCACGTGGCTCACCCTGGTTCGATTCCCAGCATCCCATGTGGTCCCCTGAGCACCTCTAGGAGTAATTCGAGTGCAGAGCCAGGAGTAACCCCTGTGCATCGCCGAGCATGACCCCCCCCCAAAAAAGGTAAGTTTTCTTTAAAACAGTGTTTAATAGCAGTATCCTTCTAAATTTTTTAGAATATAATTTTATAATATATAATTTCCTCATAAATATTCATAGTTTCTATGTTTTTTCTATTACAAGAACTCTTTTTAAAGTTTTTTCCTCCTTTTTGCTTTGTTTTTGGGCCAAGCAGTGCTCAGGTCTTATTCCTGGCTCTACATTCGGGATTCAGTTCTCGTGGGGATTGGAGGACCATATGAGGTATTGGGGGTAGAACTCAGGGTCAGCCGAGTGCAAGGCAAGAGTCCTACCCACTGTACTATCTCTCCAGCCTCACAAACAATCTTTGTACTTTCATGTCAGGACCTAGTTCCTTTACGATTTTGATAGGTACTGTCAAATAACTCCTCTCAAAGGTGTTTTTAATTTGCATTCCCAGCCTTGGTGAATTTTTTGGTTATTAGTAATGATTGCTATTGATGAGCATCTCAGTTTGGATATTTTTTATTTCCTCTGTGAATTGCCTGTTGGTGTTCTGGGGCTCTGGGTGACTGGGTTTTCCTTATTGATTGATTTTTTAGCCCTTCTTTCTATAGAGACTGCTTCATTTCCCCTAACAACCAGCTCTCTCCTAGGAGACTGCTCCCTTCTTTATTACGTGACTGCTGTGTCACACACTGCATCAGAGATGTCCACCCATACTGACTCATTCCTGTGAGCCTACTGCATGCTCAGTCTCCAGCTATCTCCTGGATGGAAAGAGAGGAACAGATCGTCTGGCTAGTCACTGCCCCTTTCCCCTTCTCCCCCACAATGGAATTAGTTTTGCTTTTTTTTCAAATAAAATTTTAATTTAGGCATTATGATTTACAAATGTGTCCATAATAGAGTTTCAGGCGTACAATTTTCTAATACCAATCCAGCACCTATGTCAACATCCCTCCACCAATGTTCCCAATGTCCCCAGGTTCCCTCCACTCCCCAGCCTGCCTCCCTCCAGGCACATTGTAAAGATTAATTATTGTAGTCTGGGTCCCATGCTTCCAATATTGATAGCTGGTTTAGACATATACATGTACCACACCTACCTCTCTGCCACCAATGTGTTCAGGCCCCTGACCATTGCCTCTGTTTACCTCTCAAGAGGGTTAGTTTTAAAAGGTAGGTTTGGGCACAGAAAAGAGCAAGGGTTTGGACTCATCTAAGCCTGAGTTTGAATCCTAGCTGTGAAGTTCAGAACAGGTCACATAACCTTGCCAACTCCCAATTTCCCTGAAAGGGGCAAATGCTTCTCTTATAGAATCATTTTGACAACAGAAGAGATTTTACCTGATGCGGCTCCCCAGGGTCTGTCCTCATAGCAGGTCCTCCGCAAAGATTCAACAAATGAAAGAGAACTGTTAATAGACAAACTGATTAGGCAGATTTCTAAGCTTTGGGTGTGAATGAGCAGGAATGAATGGAGGGAGATGCCTTCACTTCTATGGAAGAGTCAGGATGAATGACAGGTGCTACTTATCAAGACACGGTTCCAGTCTGGTCTACAATGTTTGTCCTCTGTAGAAGTTTCTGCTTTGTCTTCCCCTCAGCTGCTCAGTGCTGATGTAGAATCATCACTGGCCTGGGGAGGGAAATCAGGTGCTTCCTTCCTCAAATTAATGGGATTCTTTATTTCGTGAGAATGGCCACTGTGAGAAAGTTTGCAGGACTTTTGAGCATGCCGCTGCCCATGACCTCAAGGACTATGAACCAGAGACTGTCTGAGGCAGAAAGAGAAAAACTATGTGTGAGTACTTAGAGAAAGAGAGAGACCTGGGTTATAGACATAGTTTTATCTCTGCTAGGAGTCTCTTGACATGTCTCTTCTGCTCTTTACACCCCACCCCCACCCACATTCGGAAGTTCTCTGAGGCTATTCCTGGCTCTGAGCTCAGGAACACTAAGTGGTGACTGGTACTAAACTGGGGTGAGCCACGTGCAAGGCAAGAGCCTCTTCCCTGTACTACCTCTTCGACCCCAGGATATCATGTTTTTTTTTTTGAATCTTTTATTTTTCTTGGTTTTGGGCGACACCCAATGATGCTCAGGCCTTATTTCTGGCTCTGTGCTCAGCGATCAAGATCATTCCTGGTCAGCTCGGTGACCATAATGGGGTATTGGGGATTGAACCTGGGTCAGTCAAATGTAAGGCAAGCACCCTACCTCTGTACTCTCTCCAGTCTCAGGATCTCATGATATTTTAAATCTACCTAAATAAGAACCTGCCAAGTAAAGTCAAAGGTGTGTGAATTTGCTGTTATATATATGCTGTTCTCCTTTGTCAGAAATCTCTGTATTGTTGGGGTCCTTGTGCCCTTTCATATCCATCTTAATGTCACAGAACACTGCCTTGCATTTCAGCTATTTGGGGGTGATGACATGGTTTCTCTGAGGCATTGACAGTTGGTGGATTCATATTTGCTTCTTGGATTCTTTTTAATCCTTCACAGGGAGTGCTCTTCATTCCTTTATTTTATTTTTGGGGGGGTCACACCCAGCGATGATCAGGGGTTAATTCCTGGTTTTGCACTCAGGAATTACTCCTGGCGGTGCTTGGGGGACCATATGGGATGTTGGGAATCAACCCAGCTCAGCCACATGCAAGGCAAACGCACTTCCCGCTGTGCTATTGCTCCAGCCCCTTCTTCATTCCTCTAATGCCTCTGAGTGCTCACTGCCTGCCAAACATGGGGAGGATACAAAGACAAAAATGTACAAGATTGTGCCTCTAGGGAATCCACAATTCAGTTGCTTGATAGATATTTGCCCAGTATATGGGGGGCTCAGGGGGAAAGAATGCATGTTATGTGGAACTTGAAAACTTGAGCAGTATAAGGTGAATAGGGGTATATCAGAAGGACAAGGACTTTTCTGGACAGTGGGACTGCATCAGTGAAGGCACAAAAGTGTGAAAGCAGACTGTTCTGGCAATGACCAGGGTTGTGGGCAAGAGCAGGCAGATGTCACTCATAAAATGTCACTTATCAAAGAGCTCCAGGGTTTCTGATAACAAAGGGTGTTAATAGCATATTTTGAGCATGGTAACTAGTAAATCTTTGTGGTCTAATAGTAGGAGGCATGGGCACAGTAATTTGGGACAGTTACTAACCCTGTGGTCTTGGCCAAGTTACTTAACTTCTCTGGATCTGTTTCCTTTCTGTCAAATGGGAATTTTAAACAATAGACTTCAAGGTGTTACAATAGGGACTGGAGCAATAGCACAGCGAGTAGGGCATTTGCCTTACACGAGGCTGACCCGGGTTTGATTTCCAGCATTCCATATGGTCCCTCGAGCACCACCAGGAGTAATTTCTGAGTGCAGAACCAGGAGTAACCCCTGAGTATCGCTGAGTGTGACCCAAAAAGCAATAATAATAATAATAATAATAATAGAAAAGTGCTTGTGTATGACACACTTAAGTTCTCTAGTTTCACCGTCTCATTGTACCCTGCCCTCCTTCCTAATATTTCTCATTTTCTTATTAAAATTTATAGTAATTTCTCCACCCAAATTCTTACACTATAACCTTATATCTGTATTGTTTTCCTGGAGGAAGTGTTAGCTCTATAGATGTCTTTTTTTATACAACGACTCTGCAATTTCTGGCTCTTGTTAGATGTCCAGTAAATGCTGGCATAAAGAACTAATGTTGACCTTATCTTTCAGGACTGTTGTAAAGCGCCAAAGAAGGGTTCCTTTATTGGTAAAACTGTACAGATGTGTTATTGTTACTAAATATCAAAATAAGTGTGAAGGAAGGCGCTAAGGCTTAGGTCTAAAAGCAAGCATTGCAACACGCGAGGCCCTGAGTTCAATCCCTGAACCTCCTAAACAAAAAGATGTGGGAAGAATTAAAGTCAGAGGTTCCAGCATAATTTCATATTCTCCAAGAACCTCTTCACTGAGAAGCTCCGAAAGGGCCGTTATCAACTTCAATCTCTAGTTAGAATGCAAGTTTTCAAGGTTCACAAAGAGTTAATCTTGTGCTTAGAAATGAAAAGAGGCCATGGAAAACGCCCCACCTAGAACTAAGTTCAGTTTCAACCTTGAGCAGGAGCTGTCTAGAAGAGAGGTGTCTAAGGCCGTGAAGCGCGCTGGAATAGGAGACAGAAATCAGAAACTTCTTAAGTGGTTCCTGACTTGCACGGATTACTCGGGTCCGCAAAGCCAGGATGCTTGCGGCGCACGTTCACGCGTAGGACCTGGGCTCAGCTTCCGAGCCACGTGGCTCAGGGAGGGTCTCCCCCAGGACAAGTGGGAAGGAGGCGGAATCCCTACTGAAACAGGCCCCAGGGTATCACGGGAATTGTAGTTCTTCTCGCGTGTACAGAAGAACGTGGGCTCCCGCCTCCTCACCCCCCGATTTTGTTCCTTAAATGTCTAAACAAAGTGTCCTCTACTACAGATGCAGCCTAGATACCTTTGAAAGAAGTCCCGAAAGAAAGGGGACAAAGTCAAGTAGGAAAGTTAAAGGAGTAGCAGCGGGGAAGAGAAAGCGTTAACACGCCTCACGCATGCGCGCGGGGGCTCGGGCGGGTGGGCGGGGCCGGAAGGCGCCTCCGGGGAGCCGTGTTTTCCCCGGAAGTACCTTCCCTCCTCCCGGGTCCGCGCGAACGCGGTTTCCTTGCCTCATTTGTCCTCGCCCCTCCCCGTCCCTCTACGCGTTTTGGTTCCTGGTTGGTGCTTCCTGGTCCCAGCTGCGGCAGTGAGTACGTGTGTGACGGACCCTGAGCCGCCCGCGGCCGGGCAGCCCCTCTCTCGCCGGGGGCTGTGAGGCGAGCGCGTGTCCCCTCGGCCACGTCCGCGTCTTTCCCGTGTGTGGTCTGTGTGTGTGTGTGTGTGTGTGTGTGTGTGTGAGCGCGCGTGTCCCGTCACCCCAGTCCGCTCGTGGCGGGACGCGGCCCCGTGGCCTCTGAGGGATACCCTGCCCCACGCGACCCGGGGGGACCGGCCCGGGTGTCCGCCTTTTCCCTGTCTGCGGCCAAGGCCTGAGGCGCCGATTCCCCACAGGCCGGGCACCCCAGGGCTTTGGGGCGTTGGTGGCGAGGCTCTTCCTGAGACCCCCCTCACCGCTCCCGCCGCCCCCTCCAGAATCCGGTCCGAGCGGGCCCGGGGGTGGGGTGGGGTGGGGTGGGGTCCGCCTCCTGGACGCGGCAGCCCCGGGCTAACTCCTGCTGCTGGGCGGGCACCAGTTGCAGCAGCACGGCCCGGCCCTCCCTCCTCGGCCACGCCGTGTCCCCTTTTCTCCCGGGACAGCTCGGGCAAGTCGGGCTGAGCTCGCAGCGGCCCCCGCCCCCCGCCCCTCCCCTGACTGGCCGGCCGGGAGCGGGGAGTAAGAGCTCAGTGCTCGGGAGCGGGAGGCCGGGGTCGGGGTCGGGGGTGTGTGTGGGGGGGTCTCTTGGGTGGGCCGCGGGGAAAAAAAGGCTCTGGAGCTGTGGGACCATCTCGGCGGCGCTGTCTGCAGAGCTCGGGCACTCGCGTCCTTCAACTCCGGCGCGATCCTCCTCTCGGAGTGTTGGGGGGCAAAGTCGTGACTTCGGCACAGCCCCCGCCCGCCACCCCTCGGACCGCGCTGCCGCGGGGCCGTTCCTCGCCAACCTGGGGGCTGCCCGGGGTGGGCTGCGGGGGGGGGGGGAGAGGTGGGGGTCGAGGGTCTGCGCGCCGTGGGGGGCCGAGCTGCTCCCTGAGCGGAGGTGAAGGTTCCCACCCCGTCCCCCCCAGCGCCTCCATCGGGCGTGTCCGGAGACGCCGGCGTCATTTTCTCCCACCCACCTCTTCACATTTTTCTGCCCGACCCCCTTGTTTTGGTGCCGCGGGGAGCGCTTGGGAACTGTTGTCTCCTGAGTCTGGATTCTCTATCCCCCGTTTTGTTTATTTATTTTTTTATTTTTTAAAACTTTTAATAGAAGTCACATTTGAGGACCGGAGGCAGACGCCCATCCCCACCCCCATCCTCCCCCACGAGGCAACCTCGTTAAAGTGTCCAGTCGGGCCCCTGGCAGGGGGTCACCTTGGAAGTTAAACGCCAACGTGCCGGCCACTCACTTCCTCGAAGTAAACGTGGTTTGGAATCAACCCGCGGGCTTTGAGTGAAATGGGCTTGAAATGAGACCCTTGTCCCCACGAGGAAATAGCTGGGCTAAAGTGAAGGCCCTGGGAGGAGGAGCCCGAGGGCTGCCCAGGACAGTGGGCGGAGCAGGGATTCTGGATGCGGGTTTTAAACACCGTCTGGGCGGATTTGGTGGTTGTAGGTGCAGTCACTTTGTTCATCCAAACTTTGAACATTAACACTATTGTAACCATCCTACCTAAACTACTTAATAAAACAAAGAAAGAAAAAAAAAGGTCTGGTGAATTCTGAAAGCTTAAAAACTCTTAAGTTGTGGGGCATCAGAGAAACTGGGTGGGTGCTGTGCCCACTTGTGAGTGGTGGGGGTCTTACGGGCTGTTGTACCTCTATTGGAACCATTTGAGTTCTTTCGAAAACTTTTGCTTCCAAATATTACTTTGGAAGGGCCATTTAAAAAAATTATTATGGAATTGCTAGAATTTAGGGTATCAGTTTGGTGGTCTCTTAAGTGGGAAACGGATGACATAAGATGTATGCTTTCCCCTTCCAACTGAAACATTTCTTTCATACTTCAGTGGGAAGTAAGTTGGGCTGTTTGTGAAGTAAATTTAGGTGTTAGAACTAACGCAAATAAAACACTGAAAGAAGTTTTTAAATTCTTAAGTAATAATTTTTAGCAAATGTTTGGTTGAAAGGGAAATGTGAATGAGGCCCAGTTTTTTTTTTTAACAAGCTGTATAAACTTACTTCTGAGCTTGTTTTCTTTCACAAAAATTGAATAAATTGAGTAGAATCTCTTCCAGATTTAAATTTTGTGACATTTGTTACCTAGTTAAGTATGCTTGAGATTTATGTACAATGATCAAAAAGCTGAGAAAGCCTTCAGAATATATATTTCATATTCATCCTCTTAGATATATACTTTAAAAATAAATTGAATGTATTTGAATGTAATTAAGGTTGTAACAGAAACCAAAACACCCTTAGGCAAACCTTAACCCTGGAATACATAAGCTACATAAGTAGAAGAGCAAGTTATATTGAGTACAATTTTCAAGTAGAGAAGGTACAAAATCCTCTTAAAGGCCATAGGGGCTAAATTGTTAAATTTATTTTCTACATTTCAGGGATAAATCCTTAGACTCAAGGAAGTCAGTTATTATATTTTTGTAGTTTATTTTTGGCATACATTCACAGGTGTGCCTATGACTCTATTCTTAATCCCTTTCCTTTGGGATGACTCCAAGTGTAGTACAAATTTGTAACTCTGTAATTTAGCTCTTTAATTTTTTTCTGTGCTGTACTAGAATTATGTTTTATCTTAAGCCCACACTGGATCTTTAGGATGGTGGATTCAGTAAGGATTTTGAAGGAAACATAATTTCTTTGACTTCTTTTAGAATTAATTTACCTATTAAATAAAAAGGAAAGGATTTTTCCCTTTTTTGAATTATTCTGAGGCTAACATTTCAATATAAACTGATAAATGCTCTGAGCATTATTCAGACAGTCACATTCAACTTGTTGGACAATAGCCTGGCGATGGCAGCCTGCAGGACAGTGCAAGAAGTGTATATTGTACTGTCAGAAGAGGCATTAAAAGTTGTTTCTTCCCAACTTTATTGAGATAAAATTGGCAGATGCTATTTTACAAATCTAAGTATACAACATAATGTTTTGCTATACATATGTGAAAGATGAATCACATTCATTCCTTCACATTTTTTACTGTGTGTGTTGAGAACAGTGGTGAGAACACTTAAGGTCTATTCTAAGATTTCAAATTTATAATTTAGTTCAACTGTGAACTAGCACCTGTCCTGCACACTGGGCCATGGATCAGCAGTTACAATGGTGGATCAGTGGTTTTCAATCTTTCTGCTTCTGTAGACCAGTGTTTGAAGAATGCTGGTGTTAGTTGACTCAAAGCTTAATCATTTCCCCCACTCCCTTCTGCCCCCCCCCCCCCAGCTCTTTTGTTTGTTTTGGGACACACCAGGCAATACTTAGGGGCTATTACTCCTGCTGAGCTCTGTCTCCAGCCCTCCCTTCGCTTTGTTGATATGTAATTGACAATTGACATAGACCCCTTATCTAAGTTTTAAAGTCTATAACAAAAGTCAGTTTAATTTCTGTAAAACAAAAAACCCAGCATGTAATTCATATTTGACTTTGTTCACTTGCTTCCCAGAGTCAGCTGGTGGAGAACACCATGAGATTTTGACAGAGAAGTCAGTGTGGAGACATAGTTCAGGGTTAAAATGTTTGCTTGCAGCATACTCCTGGTTCAGAGCCCTGCTCTGCATGTGGTTCCCCTAGGGATCACTCCTGAGCAGCAGTGCTGGATGTGGGCTAACGGCCTGCCCCCCCCCCCCCCCCATACTCCACTCCATGACTAGTCTTTATAAATTACTGATTTTTTTGTTTTTTGGGCCGGTGTGCTCAGGAGTTACTCCTGACTCTGTGCTCAGGAATCACTCCTACTGAGGCTTGTTGAATATGAATCGGCCGACTGCAAGGCAGGCACCTTCCTTTCTGTACTATGGCTCCGGCCCCAGTCTTTTTAAATTATATCATTATAGCTAAAAGTGGAGTGAAAGTTATAAATTATTGTTATTGGAGCTGGAGAGATTATATAATGGGTAAATTGCTTGCCTTGCATGCAGTCGACTCAGGTTCTATGCTTGGCACCCTATCTGGTTCCCCAAGCCTGCCCCGAGTGATTCCTGTAATCACAAGAGCCAGGAGCAAGCCAGGAACACAGCTAGGTGTGCTCCCGTAATTGTTATTTTTTTAAAGCTCTCACTGATTTTTTTTTTGTTTGATTTTTGGGGTCACACCTGGCGTGCTCAGAGATTAGTCCTGACTCTGCACTCAGGGGAGGACTATGTGGGTGCTGGGGATTGAATCCGGGTCGGCCTTGTTTGAGGCAGCTGCCCTGCCTGCTGTACCGTCTATCCAATCCCTTTCACTGATTTTCTAACAGGCATGAATTATTTTTCTAGAGTTCTCATTTGATCAGTGTTCTGTCATAACCTAACTGAAAGGTTGATGATGAGAGCAGTCAGAGACAACAGTGACATATATTCCACCATAATTTCTGTATTTTGGATGTGCATTAGACTTCTAAGATTTAAAGAGCATAGTGCATATAAACTACGAATCTTCTGGGTTTGTGATCTGTTTTTGTGGAAGATTCACAATAAATTAGTAATTAGAGGGGCTGGAGCAGTATAGTGCTATGACACATGTGCCTTGCATGTGACTGATCTGGGTTTGATCCTTGTCTACTCATATGGTCCTTGAGTACCACCAGGAGTAATTCCTGAGTGCAGAGCCAGGAGTATCCCCTGATCATTGCTGGGTGTGGCCAAAACAAAATTAGTAATTAGCATTGTGTTTTGAAATGTAAATTATTTAGATGTTTATAGAAGGGTGATGGGTCAGGGAAAGCAACATTGAAGATGTTTAAGTTAAGTTGAAGGATGAACACAATCTAAAAAATTTAAAATTTAGTCACAGTGCAATTATAAAGTTATTCATGATTGGGTTTCAGACATACAGTGTTTCAACATTGATCTCTTCCACAGTGTCCACTTCCCACCACCAAAACCCAACCCCAAACCCATTTGCCTCCCTCCCACCAGTCTGCTCCTAGGAGAAGCTGTGTGAATGTGTGTTTGCATAACACTTTGCTGCCTTTCAGCACCACCTCCTCCCTCCACCATAGATGTTGTCCCCTCCCAGTTCTATCCCCCAGACCCCTCAATTTTTTCTACTGAATACCAGTTCTCATGTTCTCTGTTTCTGTGTCTTTGGTAAACACAGTGTAAGATGTCTACAATAGGGTAGTATATATACATATACAATATAACATGCATAGTATATATACACACATATACATATATACACACATATTTGGTTTGGGGGCCACACCTAGTGGCAGTCTCAGGGGATCATCTGGGGCGGTGAGGATCCGGGAATCAAACCCAGTAAAGTTTTAAAGCAAAACTTTACCTCAGTTTTAGGACCTTAGTAAGTATGTATTTAACCCCGCTTCTTTTAAAAAACAAAACAAAACAAAAAAACACTTGTGCTTTTGGAATCAAACCCAGGTCTTATATAGGGCAAATGTTATACCATGGATGTACATCCCCAATCATATTACACATATTTAAATGGCTAGTATGAATGATTTATTAGTTATTACATATATACTAAATATTTCTACTAGTTCTTTGGGTCAGATATTAGGACATATAAGACTGAAGTTTGTGGGTGAGGGGATTTGGGTCACAAGTACTGCTCAGGGATTATTTCTAGCTTTATGTTTAGTAGTAACTCCTGGCAGTTTGGGGACCATATGTTATGCTGGAGATCAAATGAGTTGGCAGCATGCAAGGCAAAAGCCTTACACCCTGTACTCTTATCTGTATCTCTAGCCCTGTTTTTAATGTTTTTTTTTTTGTTTGTTTTTGAACCTCCTCAAAGGTTCTGGGGGCCCCTAGGACTATACTCTGTAGTGCTTAGAAGGCTGTCGTAGGAGGCTGTATAATGTGAGGACTTGCCACTCGCATGCACGTTTCCTTTGAGCTATCTTCATGACCTGGCTTTTACCATTTCTGGAGAAAGGATGTTTGTATTTGAAAAAGTAGATCAGAACTTTAAAAAAATTTTTTTTCCCTAATACTTTTAAAATACTTGGGCTGGCAAGGCTGGCCCGGCCGAGCTGGGTTCGATTTCTCTGCCCTTCTCGGAGAGCCCGGCAAGCTACCGAGAGTATCTCGCCCACCCGGCAAGCTCCCCGTGATGTATTCAATATGCCAAACACAGTAACAAGTCTTACAATGGAGATGTAACTGGGCCCGCTCGAGCAAATCGATGAACAACGGGAGGACAGTGCTACAGTGCTACTTGTGAAATATGTCATTTCCAATAACAACTGTGGCGCATTTTACTGGTAATACTTTTCATTGGGAGAGGGAGGCATTAGAGAAGGTAATAAATTTTTGAAGTTCTTGAGGAAAAAAAGTAACAAAAAAGATACTTTAATAAATGACAATATACAGAAGATAGTTTTAAGAGGTTATATTATTTTGCAGTGAACAGGTATGAACTGAGCTTTTACAATGCATTCTTTATTGTATTTGTCTTTTACAGTATCAAGATTACTGCCTTTTCATGATGTTTGGTGGCTATGAGACTATAGAAGACTATGAAGATGACCTCTACCGTGAAGAATCATCAAGTGAACTTAGTGTTGACAGTGAGGTGGAATTTCAGCTCTATAGCCAAGTTCATTATGCCCAAGATCTGGATAATGTCATCAGGGAGGAAGCACAAGAAGAGATGCACTCTGGGAATTTTGAATCGTCTAGTAAACCAAATCAGAACTTAATTATCCTTTCAGATAGTGAGGTTATCCAGCTATCAGATGGGTCAGACGTCATCACTTTGTCTGATGAAGATAGTGTTTATAGATGTAAACGGAAGAATTTTAGAGTTCAAGCAAAAAAAAAAAAGACCCAAGGTTTTCCTGCTTCTCTTCCTTCTAATGAGTTGGCTGATAAGAAATGTAAGAGGAATATTCAGAAACCTCAACTTGGAGAGAGAACCAGTACAGTCCGAGAGGTCATGGTCATAGAGGTCAGTTCAAGTGAAGAAGAGAGTACCATTTCAGAAAGTGATAATGTGGAAAGTTGGATGCTCCTGGGATGTGAAGTTGATGATAAAGATGATGATATTCTTCTCAACCTTGTTGGATGTGAAAATTCTGATAATGAAGGTTAGTATCATGTTGACTATTTTAAAAAGTAGTAGCATTTTTAATAAGGAAGACTGTTTTTTCCTAGACAGAAGGCCAGTGAGGTCTGCTTCATTTAATCTTTCACCTTATGGTGTTGAGTTTTCATTTGTTTCTCATGAGACTCTTCCCAATAGCTACTCTAGTGGTGGTCCATTTGAACATCAGAAAGAGTATGTCGTAATATCACAGACACTGCCTCTGCAATAGCTGCTGCTGCTTGTTTGGCTAGAGCCAGTTCTGGTCCTGAAATCTTAGTGTCTCTGTCTCTGTCTCTCTGTCTCTGTCTCTGTCTCTGTCTCTGTCTCTCTCTCTCTCTCTCTCTCCCTCTCTTCCTCCCTTCCTCTCTCCTTTTTCTCCTGCTTTGTTATATTACAGGTGAGTACTTCATCTACTCTGGAACTGGCTCAGTCCTCTCAGCCATCTCCGGACTGCCTCTTTCTAAGTAATTTTGTATTCAAAAGTTAGATAGCAAGAACGGGGAACCTCTGGTGTACAGTGCCTGTGGAATTAATTGGATTTTAAGGAACTCCACATTCAGTGAGATAGGAAATTCTGAAGGGCTTCAAATCTAGAGTAGACTGAGGGAGAGAATACAAATTCTGAGTGTCAGCATCATGAAAACTGTCTTCTGTCATTACTGGTTTTGATGTTTGTTTCTTTAAAAAGTCTCCTTTCTCTCCCTTTATGCCCAGTGCCTTGCAATTGTTTAGTAAATAATCTTCTATGCATTCTCTACACAGTTTTCTGTTTTATTATCTTTTTATTTTATGGTGCTAAGAACCAAACCTATTTCCTTACACATGTAAGGCAAGTCCTGTACTGCTGAGTTATATTCCTGGCCCCAAAGTAGTAGTTGTCAAGTAAGTTCCTTTTTAACTCATGTTACTTAACCACTGCTCTGAAACTTTACTGGTACTCACTGGTTCACGGAGGAAATAATGACTTTTTATTTAGCACAGTGGGTAGGGCGTTTGCCTTGCATGTGGCTGACCTAGCTGACCTGGATTCTGTTCCTCCGCCCCTCTCGGAGAGCCCGGCAAGCTACTGAGACTATCTTGCCCGCACAACAAAGCCTGGCAAGCTACCTGTGACCCATTCAATATGCCAAACACAGTAATGACAAGTCTCACAATGGAGACGTTACTGGGTCTGCTCAAGCAACTTGATAAACAACAGGAGGACAATGCTTCTTCAGTGCTTCTATCTTTATTTCTATATTGTATTTTAAAATCTATTTCTCTAAAATGTTAAAATTTAGAGATCTTTACACAATTTTTTACAGTAAGGTTTTAGGCATACAAAGCTTTATGCCTAAAACCTTTTTGTAAACAACTGTGTAATCCCACCACCCCTTGATCCCGTCTCTTCACCAATCACCCCAGGTCCCCTTCTACCCCCCAACCAGACTCCTAGGCAGATTTTAAAATGCTAACTTTAAGGTAGATCATGCTTTAGAATCTCCAAGATTAGCCATCTTTTTAAAGAAAGTTTTTGTTTTTAGGCCACACCTGGCAGTGCTTAGGGCTTATTCCTGGCTCTGCACTCAGGGATCACTCCTTGGCAGGGCTTGGGGAATCATATGGGTTGCTGGGGATTGAACTCTGGTTTGCTCTGTGCAAGGCAAGTGTCCTACCCACTGTACTATTTTTCCATTTCCTAAAAGAAGCTTTTAAAAAGAAACAGAAACTGTTTTAAGTTTCCAGGTCAAAGACTCGCCTGACTCTTGTGGTTAAGAAGCCATAATACCATTTAAAGAAATGGAACAGCGGTAGGGTGTTTGCCTTGCATGCAGCCAACATGGCCGACCCGAGTTCGATTCCTCCGCCCCTCTCGGAGAGCCTGGCAAGCTACCGAGAGTATCTCGCCCGCACGGCAGAGCCTGGCAAGCTCCCCATGACATATTCGATATGCCAGACACAGTAACAACAAAGTCTCCATTGGAGACGTTACTGGGCCCCGCTGGAGCTGGAGCTAGAGCAAAGAAATGGAATGACTAACAGCATTGACCTTGAGAATCTTGACAGTAGAAAGAGGACTAGGATGGTAACATTGAGGAAAATCAGTTACAGTTTTGTTTTGTTTTGGGGTCAGAACCTGGCAGTCAGTTGCTCAGGGAACCATATGAGACCTGAAATCTTAAGTTTCTGGGAATCGAATTTGGGTTGATCATGTTCATGGCAAATGCCCTATCCACTCTACTATCACTCCTGTCCTTCAAGTAAAGTTTTGATAGAATAACGGAATCTGATCACCTTTATAGGCAGAAGGGAAAATATTTTTGTAAAAGGAGAGATTAAATTTGTTTGTAATGAACTAATAACCTTTTATAGTAATGCTTGGATCCTGGAGCAAAGAGACACTCATATTCATAATGTTCAGCTACCTATATTATACCTAACTCTGGGTACAAAAGATGTACCGAGAGTTAGATATAATATTATTGCACTGTCTCACTGTCCTCCTGTTGTTCATTGATTTTGCTTGAGTGGGCACCAGTAATGTCTCACAACAAATTGTGAGACTTCTTGTTACTGTTTTTAGCGTATCGAATACGCTCTGGGGAGCTTGCCAGGCTTTGCTGTGTGGGCGAGATACTCTCGATAGCTTGCCGGGCTCTCCAAGGGGGGTGGAGCAATTGAACCTGGGTCACCCGCGTGTAAGGCAAACGCCCTAGCAGCTGTGCTATTGCTCCAGCCCAGGTATAATATTATAGAATACTGAAACATGCATTTAGCCTATTATTTTTTTCTTTACACCACTCCTAGTTTTATTGGACACTAATGTTTATGATGATAAGCTTTTTCTTAAAGTTTCCCACATTGACCTTGTTGGGTATTTCCATTGGTTATCTCACTGTTATTTTGGATTTAACGAATTGGAAAACTTGTGAAGTTGAAAATCTTGTCTCTTCATTTTAATGGGAAATGGCTCGCTACAGGTAGGTTTCTCAGGGCAAAATGAAAGATTGATGGTGGGTAGTGAAGATGGGGTAAAGGTAGCTGAACATAATGGAAATGAGTGTTTTAGAGGTAAGGAGTTGGATTGCTGTTTTTGGTTTGGGGTCACATCTGGCTCTGTTCAGGCATGACTCCTGACTCTGTGCTCAGGGTTTATTCTGATGGGGCTCGAGAGACCATATGGCTTGCTCAGGATTGAACCTGAGTCAGCCACGTGCATGGCAAGCACCCTACCTGCTGTAATATCTCTCTGACCCAGTAAATGAAGGATTCAGTCAGATATATCATAAAGGAATGAAGAAAGGGTTTTGGTAATTAGATATATAAGGAAATCTGGGAAAAAAATTAGTATTTTATGTTTAAGCAGACAAGAAACATCGCTGTCTTGAACAACGTATGGGGGCGTGATAACTTCTTTATTAGTGCAGTTCATCTAACATTAGCTATTTTAAGTAAAGTAAGTAAAGTAAAGGCCCTCCCGTTGATCGTCGATTTGCTCGAGCGGGCCCAGTAACGTCTCCATTGTAGACTTTGTTGTTACTGTGTCTGGCATATCGAATACTCTCGGTAGCTTGCCGGGCTCTCCGAGAGGGGCGGAGGAATCGAACTCGGGTCGGAGGAATCGAACTCGGGTCTTTTAAAGTGTTCAATTGATGGCATTTATTACATTTCAAGTTGTTGTGGAATCATTACCTCTGTCTGGTTTTAGAACATTTTCCAAAGGAGATTACACAAAATTTCAACCACATCTAAAGTAAACACAACTCTCACTGAACAGACACACTCTAGTCCCACCTCCCCATGACACTAATCTGCCTCTTGTCTGTGTGGACAAGAGGGAGATTATTCTGTTCTATTTACTTATTCTGGATATTTCATGTGAATAGATTTAGTATATGTATGACCTTTAGTATGTAACTTTCACTTACCTCCCCCAGTACTTCAGTTTCAGTGAGATGTTTACACACACATTTATTTCACTCTGATGTATAATTAGAGATAGTACACAACTGGGCAGTGTTCAACAATTTTCTGATTCTATGATTTGAAATTGATTAGTTTCCTGAGAAACCATTGACACCTTGGGGATTAACACTTAGTAAAGGCTCTTTCAGCCTTCCTCAGTACTTAGTTTTATGATGATGGCTCTGTCTGTAATAAATTCATGCTAACACATGAATTAAGTGTTTGTTGTTACTTACGACTCTCAGTTCTTTCTGCTGAGGAATAAATATTCTTTCTGATGAGGGATTTCTGCTGAGGGCCTTAAATGCTTATTGTTTCTTACGATTCCCAGTTCTTTCTGCTGAGGTATATATGAGTTTATTTTTAGGTCTAGGCTTCCTTTTTCTCAATTATTTTTTTCCTAAGACATATTTATGTAAACCATACTTTCGCTCTCATTTGTTTTCCTTTTAAACAGCGTTTACTTTGCAGAGTTATTCCCAGTAGGAGTGTCGTGCAAATTTTACGTTTGAGAGTCATATTTGGATGAAGAAAAGTTGCATTAAGGAAGCCAAAATATTTGCTAAGTTATGAGGTATATCTCAAGTTTGGGAAAGATTATTGTATATGATAGCCACATTATGGGAACTGGAGAGGTAGTACCGTGTTTAAGGTCTTTATCTTGCATGTGCCTGATCCTAGTTCCAGTCCCCAGCACCACATATGGTCCCTGGAGTATCACCAGGGTGGTGTTTTTTTTATTATTTTTACTTTTTTATTCTTTTTAGATCACATCTGGCGATTCTCAGGGATTACTCCTGTCTTTGCACTTAGAAATTACTCCTGGTGGTGCTCGGGACATATGGGGTGCCAGGGATTGAATAAAGCCAGCCGCAAGCAAGACAAATGGGCATTTGTACTATTGCTCCGGCTCCAGGGTGTTTCTTGAGCACAAGAAACAAGTCAGGAGTAAGCCTGGACCGTCACTGGTGTGGATCGTCCCTCAGTCCCAACCCCTAAAAGTGATAGCTAAATTATAGGCCAGACAACAAGTAATAAGTAATTACAAAGGAATAA